CGTCCGCTCGCTGGCCCGCCCGCAGGCCGACAGGGACCCGCTGGCCCGCGAGCGACGCGCTGACCTGCGAGGGACGCCACAGCAAGCACTGACCGGCAACGCTCCGCGGCCGGCGCGCCCCCGCCCCTTTGTGACACGACCTACCAATCGCTCGCCGGCGCTCGCGTCGCCCTCCAATCAGCGGGGTTGGGGGCGTGGCCCGGCCGCCCGGCGTCGGGGGTTGCTAGGCTCCGGGGCCGCCTCGGCCTCCTCGGCGTACAGCGCTGGTTGTCGGTTAGGAGAGGCCCGGATGTCGACCCTTTATTACTAGCGGTAGACACCTGACTCGGGCCCAAGCCGGCGGCTGGAGGCCAGTCGCGCAGCTTGCGGGGAACGGCAGGATTAGCACCCGAATGGACGAGGGGGTGGGAGCGCCTTCCCAGAGACCCACCGATTGCCCTCTTAAGAAGTGCCTGCTGTGCTGGGGACCGGAGGGCGCAGGGCAGACGCTGTCCAGTCGGTGGCCTTTCCATAGCCTAAGGGACTCCTAGCGCACTCCTGGCCGCCTGCCCTGAACAAATCCCCCTTCCTGTGCTTCACCAGCAATGTTTCTGGGCTCGGATACCTCATCTGAAAAATGGGGGCGTTACCATGCCTGGTTAAAAACAAGGGCGAAAGCAGATAACGTTCTCCGCTCATCCAGTTTACTGAGGACTGAGGGCCAGGAGGGAGAGTGGGCACCCTGGGCTCAAATCCCAGCGCTGGGGAAGTTCCGTCACCCAAGCTGCCGGCTGGGATGTAAACCATAACTGGCTTCAAGACAACACATGCCTTTCAACTCGACGTGGCTCCACTTCATTCCCCACACTGCTGGCTCCTAACAGATTTTCCAACCCCATTAACCTATTTCTCTAGGTGGATTACTCAGCTGATAAAAGTTCTTGCTCCCGCTGCAGGGGCACTCATCCTCAACTTGTGACTCAGAGGAAACAGACTAAGATGAACCCCAACACCTAATCTCTACTCCCCACCCCTCTCATTTTCCTGAGACTGGGACCCTACCCACCGACTTATCTCCACAGCTGAGCAAACGTAAACCGGGGTATGTGAGGCGCTGGGCTTTCGTTCCTCAGTCTCTCTAGCCACTGGTTCCTTTTAAACTGCATACACGAATCCTTTTTTGGTTCATAAGCACGATGATTAGATATTGACGCTATTGTGTGAGGATGTGCCTCCTTCTAAACCTCCTTAAGACGTGGGCACATTACGCATCTGACATGAAGAAAGAAAAAAACTATACACGTTTAATGCTGAGTAGATTGGAGCCCCATGAGGACGGATATGATAGTACTCATCTTTGTCTATCAGAGCCTAGACAGTGCCTGTCTTACTGAGTAAAAAATTTAGTTTCTCAACTCTGCCTTCCCAATTCATGAAGAATTGACAGCATAGGCTTTGGAGTTAGGCAGATGAGTTTAAAGTCTTGGCTTTTACCTGGCCTTTTACTTGAATGTTACTGGCCAAGTCTTTCATTCTTAATATCATGACTGTCATCGTCATTTTTCAAGTGCCAGATAGTTACACATCAGGGTCTTTACGTATTCTCTCCCCTAGTTTACAAAGAAGGAAGCAGAAGCTAAGAAAGGTATAATAATTTGCCTACGATCAAATAGCTCTAAGTGGGAAAGCCAGACTTAAATCTAGGATGCAGTAGGAAAAAGTCCAGCCCTGCCCCACTATCCATGCTTCTTCCAGATTTTGGCCTTATTTGTGAAATTAGGACACTACTTATCTGGTAGACTATAGAGACTGTGTAATATAGCATGAAATAGGAACTTTTTTTTTTTTGCCATAAGTTCCCTCCCTTTTTCAAACCTCTCAAAATAACAGTTTGCGTTTTTCTAATCCTATTGTCTCCCAAATACCCTGAATCAATCCTAATGACAAATGAGATAATTCGGTTGCTCTAAAAACAAAAACATTTCACAAATGCTTTCTGAGTCAGACCCCACACTGAGCTTGGGCTCAAGTAACCTAAAGAACAGAAGGTACATGCACAAAAGGGACAGGGAAAAGGAGTAGGCAACTTGTAAGTGCCCTCTTCTGCCATGGGTCACTCTCATAGCAGAGCAGGGTAAACAGCTGACCTGTAGGAGCCTTACAAAATCACTGACTCTGAGTGTGAGTAATTCCAATCTTAATGTGCCCAAGGAAGAAGCTGGTGGCTTCAGCATTACTGAGGCCAACTTGGCAATCCTACAAGACTGTGCCATGGTTACAGAATAAATACCCTGTAACAGCAAGTCGGCACAGCACAGGAAAATACAGACTGGAATGGGGGGAAATCCATGTGGCTAGTGGCCACTGCACTGGACAATGCAGATACAGGACATTTCCCTCAGTGCAGAGTTCTATGGGACAGTGCTGCTCTTGAGGCAGACATTTCCGTCCTCAGCACTTCTCCCTGCTGTTAACGGGTTCATTCTGCTGTCTCTACAAGACAACACAAAGCTCTAAGAATGTGACTCTGGAATGCCAGATCCCAGAGGAAAAAAAAAGCTCCAAGGATGGAAATGGATGCCATAGAGCAGGGGTTAGTAAACTGTTTCTGTAAAGGGACTGACAGAAAACCTCTTAGGCTCTGTGGGCCATCCAGTCTGTTACAACTATTTGACTCTGGCATTGTAGGTAGTGAAGGCAGCCATAGGCAACACATAAATGAATGGGTGTGGTTGTGTTCCCATAAAATTTCATTTACAGTGGAGGACCATAGTTTGCCAAACTTTGCCTTAGAGGACTTGCAGAGGGATCTTCAGAATTCAGTGGAATCAATGGAAACCACCTCTCACATTGCTAAGGCTCATAAAGTATAATCTCCCGTCTTCTTTCTCTTTCACCTACCCAGGCCCTGACTAAGTTAAAGCTCCCATCCACAAAATAAAGACTCCTGGTCATCTGGCATTTGCTACCTCTGGGATTCCCTGCCCACCCATGAAAGCCACAAACAGATTTCTTCTCTAACATGCCCTAACTGGTATCACAGCCCTACCAAGGCTAGTTAAACCAAAATATAGTTAAAAACAAACCAACCAACCACCATGAAACATTTATTTTTGTTTTACAGTTTTAAGCATGATTAAAACCAGTGCAGAAAAATACTAGGTACGTTGGGCAAAAGCTAGCTGTTTCAGTATTTGCTTTTTGTAATCCAGTCAAGACAATAAGCATATAAGACAGCATCACTAACTGAAGGGTGTAGCTGAAGGGTGAGATGTGGACACCCTGTATGCTCTACTGGCCTCCAAAGGCATTCAGGGGATCATCAAATATGTTGGACACCTTGTGTTCAGATCTCGGTTCAGGCGCTGCCTGTGCAGATCGGTTTTTTGGCTTGGTTGTCTTAGCCTGGACACCAGATGAGAAGATATCATCTTTAAAAAGAAAAAAAGAAAAAGAGTTGCTGAATGGGCAAGAAAATGGGTGCTTTTAAGACACACCCACACAAACCAAAGACCAATTCTTGTAACAGTATGGGGCACCAAAAAACACTAATATAAAAGTCAAGATCTGGTCCTGGCTCAGTTACCAAATAAGTTTTATGATCACATTCAAGTCACAAGATCTCTTTGAGCACAACTTTCTCAGTGTGTATGTGTACGTGCAGGAGAGAAAAAAGGGAAAGGTAACTGGATCCCCATCGATCCCCATCCCAGTCCATACCCTTACTGTGACATTGGGCTTATTTCTACATTCTGCATTTTAAAAGGAAAGGGCAATAAAAATATGCAAAGGAAAATGCAATATAGGATTCAAGCTCTTTCAGAATAAATGCATCAGTTTGAGGCATCTCAATTGTAAGAATGTAAGACTTTGTGACTACATGCATGTTTAGTGTTTCACTAAAGCTCATCTTATTCAGTTACATTACTTACCCAGTAATGCTACTGCTAGAATTCTATCTTACCAAGATTTCAGCATGTGTAAGTAAAGACAGGAAGTGCACACAAATGTTAAAGACCTCAACATTGTCTGTGATAGAGAAAACTTAGAAACAATCTACATCACCATCAATAGGCTAATGGCTAAATACAAGGCAAAACTATACAACTGCTGAAAGCAATATCTATGTACTGACATGGAAAGATATTAAGTGACTAAAAGGAACAGCAGAACAGGTAAGGTATATTCTGATTTTTGAAAAAAATGACACACACACGTTAATATCACCATATCTGAAAGGATACACACCAAGCTGTTAATGCTGGTTACCTCTAGGGGCTGTTCGTCACTTTTTACATTTTCTGAATTATGTGAATCTTTTTGTGATAAAAGAAACAAGTGAAGTCTCCTCTGCACCCTGTGTGGTGAAAAACGGGTGGAGACAGAGCACACGGCTTGCTGGGGGAACAGACCCAGCATGCTCTGCAGTGTCAGCTGTCTCCTGGTCAGCCCTAAAGTCTAGACCTGGGAAGGAGGGAGTAGGAAAAATATATGTGGCCTCAGTCCAAGTCCTCCTGGCCAACACAGGACATAGCACAGGCCTAACATTTAGGGTTATCAGGGAATTGGCCTTCTTGTTAGCAAAGTGGAAGTTGTACCATGGAGGGAAGACAAGCATGTTTCATAAACACTGAAGATCTCAGTGAAATGCAAAGTCTGAGTTATAATCTGCTTCCCTGTATAGTTCTACTCTCCTCCTGTGCTGGCCCTTGATTCTCTAATCCACGGATACACTCTCCAGCTGGAACTCTGACTCAACCAACTGCATCACACCCAAGCAGCCACCTCAGCCTACTGTACTGCCTGGGGTAGTTTCCTTTCATAACATCAGAATGGTTGACAGGGGCACACTAAGATAAAAGTTAAATTATACTTAAAGGTCAAATTTTGGGTACCTTCAAATTCCCTGATGTCCATTACACAAAAAAGTTGCTTCGCCAAAATTACTAGTCCATTTACTCACCCATCCTCAGCTTAGCTCAGAATTACAGAGCAAGCCGAAGGAAAGCTGCTAGGGAACATTTTCCAGGAAAGGTCTGGGCAGAGATAGCAGGAGAAATACCAAGTAACTGAATGGTAACAGATCTCTGGGCCAAATGTAGAAAACCAAACTTACCCATATCATCATCAAATATAGACTTAGCTTCCACTTTCTTTTTGGACTTTTCTTTTGGCTTTACAGTCAGGTCAGCAAAAATATCAATGTTATCATCAAATAAGTTGGATTCCAATGTCCTCTCTTTCTCTCTTGTTCTTTGTGAAGGTTTAATTGCTTCTGTAGCAAATATATCATCCTTGTTAAGCCAAAAAAACAAGCAAAACAATTTTAAATCAATTTTTTTTTTTCACTAAAAACACTTCAACAAGTTGTGGAAATGCAAACTGCCAGTATGTTCAGGAACAACCACATGACTCGCCCCCTCTGCCTGGAATGCAGCACCCAGATCTCTGCACAGCCTGGTCCTTGTCGTTCTTCTGGTATACCAGGCCTACCTGAAGGAGGGCCTCTCACCCCTCCCTCCACTCTGGCCTGGGTTATTTTCTTCATGACATTTAGTGCTTGCTTGAAAACCTCTTAATTATCTGTCAACTGGTTTGTATTTGACTTCCCTCCCTGAGAACTCTGAGGAGCAGATCACTTGTCCTAGTTCGCCTTATGCCTGCCCAGATGCTCAATAAGCATCTGCCAAGCAAATGCCACTGAAGCCCTATTGCCAGCGCCAAATTGTCAGCTCCAGCCAGGGCCCACTTCCCCAGAATCAAAGGCTACACACTAAAGCTGGACCAATATAGCTTTATCCATGTCACAGTGTAGCATGCCAAGGAAACTGACTACAGCAACATTCTACAAAAATTAGAAAATCAAAACTACAAAAACTATAAACATCAAGACCTGTATCAATGATTATGACCAGCCAAGAACTACCCCCAACATGAAAGAAAACGAAAAACCACTTGAGTAAATTTGAGTTATTAATAGGAGAGCCAAATTATAATTACTAAGTAGATATCGGGCATACATGAAACAAGCTCAACATAATCTATGGCTCCAATGAGCCAAACAGATATTTTTTCTTAACATAAAACCAGGCACAAAAATGTGGTGTTATGCTCTGTTACCTCGAAAATGTCCTGTGTTTTTGAAATGACATCCTGCTGACTGTTGGATTTTGACTCGTTCTTCTTGCCTTTCTGATTTGTAAAGAGATCGTCCTCATCTTCCAGGAGAGGAAAGGGGTTTGTTTTCCTTGCTGGTTTTGGCTTAACAGTCTGAAAGAGATCATCATCACTGCCTGCCTCAGCTGCAGCAGGAAACATGGGGCTCTTCTCGTTACTTCCCCCAGGCGGATTGGCTGAGGTCTCTGGTGCCTTTGCCTTGGCTTTTGTTCTGTCTGTGGACTGAGGTCCAGTGCCCTTGGAAAAGATGNTGAGAACTCTGAGGAGCAGATCACTTGTCCTAGTTCGCCTTATGCCTGCCCAGATGCTCAAAAAGCATCTGCCAAGCAAATGCCACTGAAGCCCTATTGCCAGCGTCAAATTGTCAGCTCCAGCCAGGGCCCACTTCCCCAGAATCAAAGGCTACACACTAAAGCTGGACCAATATAGCTTTATACATGTCACAGTGTAGCATGCCAAGGAAACTGACTACAGCAACATTCTACAAAAATTAGAAAATCAAAACTACAAAAACTATAAACATCAAGACCTGTATCAATGATTATGACCAGCCAAGAACTACCCCCAACATGAAAGAAAACGAAAAACCACTTGAGTAAATTTGAGTTATTAATAGGAGAGCCAAATTATAATTACTAAGTAGATATCGGGCATACATGAAACAAGCTCAACATAATCTATGGCTCCAATGAGCCAAACAGATATTTTTTCTTAACATAAAACCAGGCACAAAAATGTGGTGTTATGCTCTGTTACCTCGAAAATGTCCTGTGTTTTTGAAATGACATCCTGCTGACTGTTGGATTTTGACTCGTTCTTCTTGCCTTTCTGATTTGTAAAGAGATCGTCCTCATCTTCCAGGAGAGGAAAGGGGTTTGTTTTCCTTGCTGGTTTTGGCTTAACAGTCTGAAAGAGATCATCATCACTGCCTGCCTCAGCTGCAGCAGGAAACATGGGGCTCTTCTCGTTACTTCCCCCAGGCGGATTGGCTGAGGTCTCTGGTGCCTTTGCCTTGGCTTTTGTTCTGTCTGTGGACTGAGGTCCAGTGCCCTTGGAAAAGATGTCCCCAGAATCAAAAAGGTCAGTCTCACCTCTGGGTTGACCCAGAGATTTTGCAAAAGGACTTCTGTGCACTCCAGGCACGGGACCGCCTTCCCAAGGTGTTCCAGCAGCTGCAGTGGCCTCCCCAAAGCTGTCTTTTCCACTGGCAACACTGGACTGTGGCTGACTGCCATCTGGTGAAATGGCACCATCTGCCAATTGTGCAATGGGTCCTCTAGGGACACTCATGTCCTCAGCCTCACTGGACTCCTGAGCAGCCAGCCGCCTAGCTGCACGGGTCTGTGGTCTGCGCTTTCCTCTCATTCTGACACGGCTCTGCAATGGCAAAAACCACATGCTGATTGATGATAAACAAAAAATGTTCACAGTTAACATAGAAAAGAACCAGTGACTCAAAATACTGTAAAGTTATCTAGTCTATTTCAATCAAGATATTATCTAAGATACAGAAGAGGAAATTTCTTAAAAGATTTCTTAAGAAGGAGGTTAATAGCTCCTAATACTTCAAGACTAAGTCCTTCTTAATCTTTTAGTGCTCTCCACTTTTGAATCTTTTGAGGGCAGTTTCAGTTCAGCTTCACACAAAAAGCTTCACCTGTTGCCAGAACCCCAGAAAGTAGGCATGTTGGTGCTCTGTGTCCCCCCAACACTCCCTGGCCCCTACTCAGTCCTCAATTTAAAAGCAGGTATCTTTCAAAATGAGGAAGAATCAGGGGGAATTCTGGTACTAACCTTTATTAGGGGGGCTAGTCTAAATTCAGGGTCCAGGAGTAGGGAGATATAAGACAACAAAAACAGAGAGGAATTCTAAGGCGCTGTTTTCTTCAAGTCAACAACAGCAAATTCAAATTAAATATTTCATGCAAAAAATATGGCTTAGAAATCAGAACCTTTAATATAACCTCGAAACATGAGTCACTTAATAGCAATGATGCAGTATTTGTGACATTTTCCAAAATATACAATCAAGTAGAGTGTGACAAGGTACAACCCACTTCAGGCAAAAAAAAATGACTGTGTTTGCCTACTTCAAGCAAATTTCACACACACATTCACACACACACACACACACACACACACACACACACACACAAAAGCTAACCAAAACTATAACAAAAGGAAAAACTTGTTTTATGCACGGGGAAAACAAGTTTGGAAATACTTGAAATGAATGTATTTGCCAGGATTTTGTCATCCTAGGTCTAACTTGGAGATCAGCTAAGACTCTCAGAGAAGGGAGATTGAACAGAAACAAGAAAACAAGTCCCAGACAATGCAGGCAAGAAACAGAGCACGCCCTGGGTCCTAAGGCAGGAGCCAAGGGCGGCCCCCTCTACTGGATGATGCAGGCAAGGAGCACATCGAAAACACCGCTTCTTCACAGGTGACCCACCACAGCCACTGCCATAGCCACAGCTACCATAAAAGTGGCTCGACCCCACAGCAGTAGCCACAGCTACCATGCAGGTGGCCTGCCAGACACCTGACTGCAGTGACACAAAAAGAGTCATCAGCAGAGACCAGAAAAAGAAGAGGAGGTCTCTCATCAAAGCTCACTCCAGCATAATAGAAGCAACTGCTCTACCATGCCCCTGTTTTATTTCTGATTTCAGTAATTTCTGTCTTCTCTTTTTCTTGGTCAGTCTCTCTAGACTGACAGAGAAAAGGTTTTCAAATTTTGTTGGTTTTTTTAGAGAATCAAAAAAAAAAAAAAGGCTATTAAGCAGTCTATAAAGCACCATTGCTGTAAATATTTTAATCAAACAGTAACTTTACATAATTATTTTAGGGTATAATAATCTATATATGTTGTGTAACTTGTT